CATTTACCTTGATTTGTGATCTTGTATAACTTGTGACCTTGATTTGTAACCTTATAGCGGTTTACCTTTTTGACCTTATATACCTGGTGACCTTGATTTGTGATGTTGTATAACTATTGACATCGATTTGCGACAGTGTGTAACTGACTGATTTGTGACATTTTATAACTTTTGACCTTTTTATGTTAATTGCCTTTTGACTTCGTGACCTTGGTGGTGGTGGTGGGGGAGGGGGGGGTACACAACACTTCTAGTGATGATGCATACTGTATGTGTCTGAAGTTTCATTAAATTATGTTGAGAGAATCAGAAGATGGGCACACGACAAGTTTACCATAATACCGTATAAAAAAGATCCAACTTCGATGACACATTTTCTTTTATTTCATTATTAGATTACATTTATATAATGAGATAACAACATACCAAAACAAATGTGATGTAACGATACAGGTTTTTTTCACTAGAGACTGAGACACTTCGACTTTTCTTTTTATATATATATATATATATATTTAAAAAAAAAAAAATAGAACAGACTTAAAATGATATTTTTATAGTTGTGCTCTTCCATTTGGTTTCAGGACTCAAAGAAAATAAAAACACCTGTAACCTGACAGGTTGCAAAACAGGCTTTTATAGAAATATATTATAGAAAATAAGTTTATATAAAATATTGCTGAAATTGTTTCAGCTTTAAATTGCATGAACAGTTTTAACGCACGCGACTTTAACTTCGTCAGAAAAAAGCTGAAAAGAAAAACTCTACGTCTACATTTACTTTGACCTTTTTGTAGTTCAAATGTCCCCACCTTACTTTGTGTTTCCACCCTCCAGCCCTAAGGCACAGGAAAATCTAATCTCTCCATCGCATGTCAACAAAACATTTTACTCCCGAGCGTCGCCTGTCATAGATTACTAAAGTCAAACAGGTTGAACAGGTGAGATCACCTCTGTTCTACCAGACTACACCTAAAAACAAAAGTGCTGACGCAGGGTGACGATACCCAGCAACTTCACCTACTGCCACCTATGCCTTTGGAACCATAAGTACAAAAACATTTTTTAAACTAGGTAGGAAAATAGCAGCTTCAGTAACAGAAACGACTTCAAGCACAAATATGAAAATAAATATACTCAAAGATCTTTTATCTAAAATGATGGTCTTATTGTTTTGACCTGAGGTCAAATCTCATCGCAACATTTTTGAAAAAAAAAAAAAAAGTTTTTCTAAATGAAAGCTCATTTATTCTCTTAGGAGCTATATTAAATGTGTTTTATAAAAACACTGGCAAAGGCTCCACAATTCAGTTCATTCTGATGACCTGACTGCAACCTTTCAGCTCTTGTTTAATTGAGGAAACACTCACCCGTCTGCCTCGAACCCAAACCTTAACGACTGACAGACTATTTCTTTTAATAAAAGGCTGTGTGTGTGTGTGTGGGGGGGGGGGGGGGGGAACCCACGTAGCATTCACTGCACAGTGTCAGTAATCAGCTGTCAGTTGTGTATTCACCACGTTACACAAACTGACAGAAGTAACTTCATCCCATTTAGCAAACAGTCTGAACACAAGCATACAGTAATGAAGTGGTTCGAACCCTGCTCTCTGAGGAACACCATCCTGCATGTTTCAGTTGTTTCTCTGCTTAGTGATTTAATTACTTCCTTAAATTCTGCAGAAGCCAGTTAATCACCCATTCATTCAAATCAGGTGTGTCAAAGCAGGGAAACCAGCAGGACGGTGTTCCTCAGGGAGCAGGGTTGGGAACCACTGCGTTATGTATCGTTCAGCACATAAAAGCTGAGAACTTAATGTTCCATAAACATATCATAATATATAAAATAACTGCATATGGCAACATGAAGATTGTCAGCCTTGGCAGATCAACCTATGACCAAAAATGTCAACAATAAAGTAAAATGATGAACAAATGATTTGAAAACATTTACAGTTTACAAATAATGCATATATTAATTCCTGAATACAGTAGAGGTGCTTAAACTTAGCTTAAAGGCACTGCAGGCGTCTGAAAAAAGCTTTTGTTTGGTGTTTGTCTGCAAAAACTTGGGATTTCTTCTTAATCTCCAACTCCTTTTTATGTAACGCTGTGTGGCGTGGTGGATTAAAATTAAAAATAAAAGTTATCGGAAGGAATCGGATACATTCAGTTTGAGGCAAAGCCTGAGAAGAAACTTGCTAACAAAGCAGGCAGTGTTTGATTTGTGTGGAATAAGGATTGCACATTTAAAGAGAATATTTTTTTAAATAAATACTCAAAGAATAGTGTAAATTAAACTTACAAAAACATACTGGACAGTCGAACTTAGGCTTCTTTTCACCCTTCTGTTTGAATGCAAACAAAAGTTTATTGGTCCAAAATGTGTTTCATTTGGGCCCATCAACCGTTAATAAATTACTAGTTGTCTGACAGGAACCTGGAAGTTGAAGCTGGAAGGGAACCAGCACCCCAATAGGCTGGTCCAACAAGTACAAAAGCAGCAGTTTAAAGGAAAGATGACATCGTGATTGTGTGCAGGAGAGTAGGCGGGACTTAATGTCCCATTTCACTAACGCACAGAGTCTGGTTCCAAAATATTCAACATGGCCGCTCCTGTAAACAGTGTTATACAGCCTTCAGTTCTTAAAACAAGAGAAGGCAGGAACACGTTATCTTAATATACTGTCGATGTTTGAACCGTTACAAAATGCCATCCCAGGCAAACGGCTTAAATAAATAAATAAAATATAATCATTCTATTCAGTCAAAAATATTCGTCCATTTCTTATTTGTGTTTTTTTGTTCATATTTTCCACTTGAATATAAAAGATAATCCCAGGCTATTAATAAAAGGTGACGGAGGGGTGTTATAATGAACCTCACATGTAATAAAATTTTAAATAATTTAACATTTTGCTGAATTGTTTGATTCAGGAAAAACCTACAAACCACATCATGGTGGAAAAATGCTCATTAACTCTTTCAGATGTGATTTATGTACAAATTTAGGAAAAAAAAATTAGGGGTGCACCCGATTTTCCTTAATTTTGGGAGATTGGCTGATACTTACACAAGAAACCGGTTTATTTTTATTTATTTTTTGTAGTTTTAACGACAATTTTCTAAACTTCATTTATATTTCAGAGCACTACCTCATGACCAGTTTAAACAAGTTTGTATTATTTCTAGGATATTGATCAAGGGTATATTTTTCAATAAAATATTGGAAAATTGAAGGTACATCGTGGCCTTTATAACAACTGACAGTGTCGCTTATAAAACAAAATCGGTATCGGTCGGAATCGGCAGGTCAGAGTTTTTAGAGATCGGCCAGAAAACTGCAATTGGTGCACCCCTAAAAAAAATAAACCTTTAAAGTTTCACTTGGACTGAAAGGCACTCCATACTGCAGTGACTTTTCTGTAAGGTACATGTACAAGTACTAAAAGTGCAGTAAGTATTTGTCATCTGTAGCAGTGATGTGGAATTACACAATATGGTCTTTGGCAACAATGTAATCTTATAAAGGCATGTTTTCAATCAAACTCTTTTATCTAGGGGTGCACCAATTGCAGTTTTCCAATACCAACTTGTTTTAACTGGCCATGAGGTAGTGCTCTGAAATTTAAATCCAGTTCAGACAATTGTTGTTAAAACAAACAAAAAATATTGTTTTCTCATGCAAGGATCGCCCGATTTCCAAAATTAAGAAAATCGGGGCCGATAAATCAGCTGGCCGGTTTATCGGTGCACCACTACTCTTTTCTTATATGTTGCAGATGTTTGGACAGATGTTGGATCTATTTTAAGATATGTTGTCACATCCTCCGTTAGGAACACTGAGGTTTTGGACGTAGTGAACGGCATCAGTAATGGTAAAGAAAATCATTTTGTTCTTTCCTACCTCACCATCTTTTTCACTGCTGTAGTAACCTCCACTTTCCAAAGTGTCCAGTACCGACGTATTACACCGGGTCAGGATAACGTCAACCCCAACTTCTCCGTAATCTTTCCGCACCTCTTTCAGAGTATTTACTCCGGCGGTGTCGAGGAATAAGACGGCGCCGCAGTCGAGTACTAAGCTGCGCACGCTTTTTGAAGATTTCTCATCAAGCATAGCTGCAGACGCTTCGTCATTCTTCTCACATGCTTCGTTTCCTGACTCCATCGCTGATGTTTCTCCAACCTCCAGCTGCTTGTTTTTCTTGGACTTTAAACGTTGCGCCTTCTCCTTCACAGGGTTGAGACCCACACTTTTGTAGAGAGACTTCTTGAACAAGCTCTGGTTGGCGTAATAAATCGGCGCCTCGTATCTGAAAACGGCCACTCCAGGATGTGTCCGAAGGCCATGGTATGATGACAAATGTTCATAATGCTCCCTGGTCTCAGCCTGGCCCAGCTCAAGGACCTGAGCTTTCTGGGTTCGGCCCAGGATGCAGAAGGCTGACACCAGAACCCCGACTAGGAGACCGAGCTCGGTGTTGACCAGTGCTGAGGTAGCCATGGTTGCCAACCAGATGAAAGCATCGATTCGATTTGCACGCCACATGCGGGGAATGTCCAAGAACTTTTTTAGAGCACCGCGGAGGTTCACCACGATGATGACGGCTAAAACGCATCTGCACAAATGTAAGAAATGGAAAAGGTTATGTCACCATGAGCACACACATCTATCAGAGCAAATGACACCTAACTCAGAGTGAACCTGTGCTGGCTCGAAACATAACTGGCAACAAAACTAATTTTAGAACTTTGGACCCTGTGGGTTGTGGAATCTCTGGATTGGTAGCAACATGAACACCTAACACACTTTGGTGTGACTATGCAATGCAGTGATCCCTCACCTATCATGGGGGTTACGTTCCAGAGACCCCCGCAGTAGATGAAAATCTGCAAAATAGCGTCGTTTATTTTATTATTTATATCATTATTTCTCCTAGATAACTTGCCATGGCGGGGCGATCATCTTGTCTGTGATTTGTCAGCGGTTGGGGGGTGGGGGGGGTTGGATGGAAAGATGTCTGAGCTGCACGCTGTTTGTACCATCAGTTTTTGAGCAGAGGGGCGGGGTTTAGTGTAAAGTTTAAGCGTGAGGGAAGAGTCAGCGTAAGCGCTCCCTTTAGCGTTTTAGCTAGCGCACCTGTATTGCGTACTGCTAGCTTAGCGCTACGTCAGTGCCAATGGGGGGAAGGGGGTTGATGCGCAGTTCGTTTCAGTAGGCGGGGCATCCTGCAAACACTTTACACACATTTAAGGCTTTATAAACTCTTCCCACACTCTTACTAACCTTTCCCACTCTTTTGAACACTTCATATGCTCTTCAACATTTTGGTGATGAAGATGATGACGATGACATGAATGTACAGTAGTGCACAGCATGTACAGTACACACACTATAAAATGAGTAAAAAAAAAAAACACGATAGCGTAAAGCTGCAAAAAGTGAGCCGCAATATAGTGAGGGACTGTGTACTGTACAGGTAATCGTCCTTCAGTGGTCATAATGTTGTGTCTGATGTGTGTAAATATGTGAAGATTAAGATTTTTAAATAACTTTTCATGCTTTTCTTTTTCGTGTGTCTAATGCTGTATTTAAATTGATATCAGAATGTTTTTAATTTGTCTATCATCGTTTTCTGGTGTTTGCCGTTTCTCTCAGCAGACGCTACCTCAGAGTCAACATTAACCTGAACTGTGGTCACAGGTTATCTGGATTCATCGAACGTTACCTTTTTGAAACCTTTACAAAAATAAACAATACAAGAACAACAAATTTAAAATAAACTAAAAACAAAATCTTGAATTGGAACAATTTTCACTTTGCTAAACTTTATTAAACGCTCAAACGGGATATAAGTGTGTTTGAAATTCACCATGGGGTTGTTGGTTTACTGGTGTACGTGCTGCAGGCACAAATACATTTTACATTAGATCTCCAAGGATATAAAATAAACATCTGTTGTGTGTTGTGCATTTTTCAGAACACATTTTTATGGAGGCTGATTTGTTGACTAAAAATCAAAGCATTTCAACAGTGTGGCAAAATATGATCCATCCATTTATCTTTACTCTCTTCATTCTTTCGCTTTCTCCTTTCTGGTTCACTGGTGTCCATGTCCCAGCAGTCACTGTGCAGGAGGCAGGGGACAACCTGGACAGGTCTCCAGTCCATCACAGGGACACATCGAGACAAACTAGACGACCATTCACTCTCTCACTCACACCTAGGGACAATTTAGAGTTACCAATCAGCCTAACATGCATGTTTTTGGTCTGTGGGAGGAAACCGGAGTACCGGAAATCCCACGCATGCACAAAGAGAACATGCAAACTCCACCCAGAAAGGCCCCCAGACCTGGATTTGAACTGGGAACCTGCTTTGCTGAGAGGCTGCAGCTCTACCAACTGTGCCGCCGTGCCGCCCCTGGTCGTATTCATAAAATTAAATTAAATTAAATAAAAACACAAATCTTACTACCAGTATACTGTCTGCTACATGGGCAGCACGGTGGCGCAAGTGGTAGAACTGCCTCTCAGCAAGCAGGTCCCCAGTTCAAATCCAGGTCCAGGGGCCTTTCTGGGTGGAGTTTGCATGTTCTCTCCGTGCATGCGTGGGATTTCCGGTACTCCGGTTTCCTCCCACAGACCAAAAACATGCATGTTAGGCTGATTGGTAACTCTAAATTGTCCCTAGGTGTGAGTGAGAGAGTGAATGGTTGTTTGTCTCGTTTGTCTCTATGTGTCCCTGTGATGGACTGGAGACCAGTCCAGGGTGTACCCCGCCCCTCGCACAGTGATTGCTGGACATGGGCACTGGCAACCCCCGTGAACCAAAACTAGAATAAGCAGGTAAAGATAATGGATGGATGTCTACTATATATTACACAGTTTTTAGGCATTATGTTTTCTGAAACCTGCTCAGTAGATGTTGTATGTTAATTCTCATTAATATGCATCTTGCATGAATAAAAACTTTATTTTCGGCTGTCATGGTTAACTTAGAGTGAAGACAGTTGGGCTGTTTTAAGTCAAAGTATTACATTTTAAAGTATTCTATCAGTTCGGGGTGTTTTTATCAGTAGATCTAAGTGTTCGTGCAGCACATGTAAATGCCTTGTTCAGATGCTTACCTAATGTGAGACACCATCTTAAGACATGATGCACAAGTACACAAGAGAAAAGATTCAGGGAATTAAAAGATCTTGCATGCTTACTTTTGAAGGGAATAAAAGAGCGGTGCAATAACCAGAAGCACCAGCAGCAGGACAAGAGCACTGACCAGCCCCGACATCTGCGTCTGGCACCCTGTCGATTCCTTGACGAGGGTTTTGGTCAGAGCGGCGCTGGTGGTGAAGCAGCGGAAGAACGACGGCAGGATGTTGCAGAAACCAATGGCGTACATCTCCTGGTTGGCATCCACTGAGTAGCCGTGCTTCTTGGCAAACATCTCTGACAACGACACGGTGATGGCAAATCCCACAATGGCGATGGAGAAAGCGTCAACAGCCACATTGGGGATCAGTGACCATGAAGGCAGCTGAGGAGGGAGGAAGCCCGTAGGGATGTGTCCCGCCACCCCTGAACCATATTCACTGTTGAAGTGACCAAAGTGAGAGGCAAGAGTTGCTATTATCACCACAAACAGCTCAAATGGGATCGGAGCCTAGAGAACAGAAGAAAAGAAAACCAGACATGAAAAAATATATCCACATCTATTTCGTTTAATATTGTGTTCTACACAAAACATGATTCCTACACAAGATTAGAATACAACGACGCTGCCTTGGGCAGAACCTTATGCTGTACTCTCTAAAAAAGTTAAATCTGGTCCTCTGGACATTCAAAAAAACAAAACAAAGCAAAACAACAACAAAAATGTAGAAACGTTTCGTCTCTCATCCGAGAGACTTCCTCAGTCTGAGGTGCTGTATTCAGCTCAGTCTCTTAAATAACACCTTCTCAGGGTGGATCAACCAGTTTTGCTGCTGACAACCAAAACCAGCTGATCACATGCTCAAGAAGGACCATCAGCCTAACAATGGATCATTAGCACACTGATGGCTGTTTACTGTTCACAGAGGGCTGAGTGATACTAGCAATCACAGCATTGTAAGAGGGGGACAGTTGAACACGGAGGCCTCCACCCCTGTTTAACGATGGACGGTTTCTTTTCACAAAGATGGCCTCCTTTACTCCTCTCTCAAACCATCGTTCCTCTCTGTCCAGGATGTGCACATCTTCATCCCTGAAAGAGTGACTACTGGCCTGGAGATGAGTGTAGACCGCAGAGTCCTGGCCTGATGATGTTGATCTTCTGTGCTGAGCCATCCTTTTGGCCAGTGGCTGTTTAGTTTCCCCGATGTAAGACTGATCACAGCCCTCCTGACACTGAACAGCATACACAACATTACTCTGTTTGTGCCGGGGGACTGGATCTTTGGGATGAACCAGTCTTTGCCGTAATGTATTTTGGGGTTTAAAAGCCACTGGGACGTTATGTTTAGAAAATAAACGTCTCAGTTTCTCTGATACTCCCTCAACATATGGAATGACCACTGGTCTGGGTCTGGGTACCTTATGCTGTACTATAAGTTGGACTGTTGGTGAGAAAGTTGTCATCCCATTTATGTCTCACTCAACTGCCTTTCGTGGCTAAAAGCAATGTAAAACATGCACACGTTCTAAGACATTTAATCTGCATTTGTTTTAAAGAACAGCTTGTTATTACCTTTAGCTTGGATTTGAAGCGATCATTTAACTCCTTTGCAGGAATAAGCACGGCCAAACACACCAAGCTGGTGATAAGGTCACAAATGTTGGTCTTGCCAAGGTTGATGAGGACTCCATACCAGGTCTTGAACAGAGTAAACCAGCCTTGGGGCCGAGGAATCTTCAGGCCTAGAAGGTACTTGAACTGCGACGTAAGGATGGTCAGGGAGGCGCCTGTCGCAAAGCCACTGAGGAGGGAGTCCGAGAGGTAGACGGAGACGAAGCCTACCTGAAATAGGCCCATTAGCACCTGAGAGAAAGACGTGGACAGGAGTAAGAAGAAAATTCACATTCTAAGACATTCAGCATTTTATGTCAAGGCTATTCAACTAAACTGCTCTGGGGACCACAGTTACTGAAAGCCAACAGCTCAGGGGCCGGACATTCAGCCATTAAGTCCATCCATTATCTTTTACCTGCTTCTTCCATTTTGGGTCACGGGGGTTGCTGGTGTCCATGTCCAGCAATTGCTGTGCGAGGGACGGGGTACACCCTGGACAGGTCTCCAGTCCATCACAGGCACAAACGAGACAAACAACCACACTCTCACTCACACCTAGGGACAATTTTAGAGTTACCAGTCTGTCTAACATGCATGTTTTTTGGTCTGTGGGAGGAAACCGGAGCACCCGAAGAAAACCCACGCATGCACGGCAAGAACATGCAAACTCCACCCAGAAAGGCCCCCGGACCGGGATTTGAACCAGGGTAACCTGCTCGCTGAGAGGCAGCAGCTCTACCAGTTGTGCCACCGTGCTGCCCCTAGCAATGAAGTCATTATGTAAATAAACTTACCTGGTAAACCCCGGCGGTAAAAGTAACTGTTGCACCCACTGTGATGGCGTAGCAGCTTCTGTCGCACTCATTGTTGCTGTTGTTTTGCAGACTAGCCAACAGGACGCCACTGCTGTTACGACCCATGCTGCTGTTTTCTGAGATGTATCCTGCTAAAGCCAACTCTCTATCCACAACCTGACCCACAAGCAGGCAGAGGACTCCAAAAATCCCCACTGAGATGTGTCTGGAAGTGCCCAGGAGGGCGTAAATGATAGACGAGAAGAAAGAAGTGTAGAGGCCATATATGGGGTCTTGACTTGCCAACAGGGAGTACGCTATGGACTGTGGGACCAGTAGGATTCCAACAATAAGTCCTGACATAGCATCGCCCAGAATCCAGTCCCTGAGGTTGTAGTGCAACAGCCATTTCAGAATGGGAAAAAATCCCAGTATTTTGGATTTCACCCTCTTTGTGGTGCATGAACATCGTTTCTTCAAACAGCTGGACACAACAGTTTGCCATTTCTTTGTCGATTCCTTCTCAACTCTTTCCAGAACGAGTGGCCGCTGCAGGTCAGTCCCAGCTCCATCCTCTGGTTTGCAGCAGGCATCCCCATGAGGCATCTTGAAACTGTGTAGACAAAGTTTAGAGATCAAACGTACTTCATAATAAACTACGAATAGACACCTGGAGAACGTGTACAGATACAAAAGAATATGAAAAGTATCAGTACTCTGAGGCACTGCTGAAAAGCAATTTGTTTTTAAAAGGTGGAGAGAGGAGAAGCGGGATGTAAATCATTGTGTGCCGTTGGGTGTGGACAATCAATTTAATACGTGAAATTTGAAGAATTTCCTTCTTTTTATAAAAATCAAATCAGCACAGAGGACATGTATATGAGGAGATCCACACTCAAGGACAACTTAGTCTGTGGAGTCAGCAACTCGGAAATATATTTCCAAATGCCAAACAGGTAATTTAAAGGTATAAATAAACACTACTTTGAGTTTGTCCACAAAGACTTTAAGAACAAATTGTACTATAATGATGTTTGTTTTTTAACTTCCTTCTCTTCCTGACTAGAAGTCATGATAAGAAGTGGTTTGTTAATCAGACAATGCAGCCTTTAGGCTATTCAAGGAAACTACAGTGTTTTCGACGGGAACGATGTCATAAAGTCAAATAACTCTGTTTAAGAAGAAAGAGAAGCGAAATTATTATTATAGCGCATGTTCCCTTTGCAGTCTAAGCCCACTGAGGTATGAATGAGCTTCTTTGTAAACAAAACGTCAACGTGGACTCCACCGGAAACTTTGACCGACTTGAAACATTTATGGTGAAAACATATCACTACGAGAAGAAAGCATTCAGGTTCATGTGTCAAGATACTGACCTGTGTTAGAATAAACTTCCTTTACTAAGTTTTTCTTACTGTTCCGCTCCGAGAGTGAAGAGTCCTACACGCTGCCGCACTGTACGTGATGACGTAGCACAAAACGTCATTGCGTCACGCTGTTTGCTGAAGCGACGTGGGTCGCGCTAAAAGATCATTGACCTCGTTTGATTACAAAAGAGAACTGTTGCAACTCATCTTTTACAAATCATAAGAATTAAAAAATATATATTTGAGTCCAGTTTAAAAAAAAAAACATGCATGTATAAAAATTATACTTACAAAATCACTTCAAACTTTTTAATAACTTATTACATTAATAACAACAAAGTCCATGCTCAATAATCCAGGTATAAAATCCAACATTTTTCAGTCAGGTCATCTGGACAGTTTCTTTTTTTTTTTTTTGTGCTGAAACGTTTCACCTTCGATCCAGAAGGCTTCATCAGTCAAGGAAACCCACAACAAAACTGATGCTTACTCCAAAGTGGAACAAACCAGTTCTGCTTGTGGTTAGATGGTCGCTTTGGTACGCCCCTCCTCCATTGCCGGCCCTCTTCCTTGTTGACAGTCGAGTTAAACTGGTTGAAAACAACAAAGTCCATGCTCAATAATCCAGGTATAAAATCCAACATTTTTCAGTCAGGTCATCTGGACAGTTTCTTTTTTTTTGTGCTGAAACGTTTCGCCTTCGATCCAGAAGGTTGTTTTGACAAGAATGTCAACAAGGAAAAGGGCCGGCAATGGAGGAAGGGCGTACCAAAGCGACCATCTAATCACAAGCAGAACTGGTTTGTTCCACTTTGGAGTAAGCATCAGTTTTGTTGTGTGTTTCCTTGACTGATGAAGCCTTCTGGATCAAAAGCAAAACGTTTCAGCACAAAAAAATAAACTGTCCAGATGACCTGACTGAAAAATGTTGGATTATTCCATTAATAGTGATGATTAATGATGCATTTTGATTTTATTAACTTTTTTATTATTCTCCTACATAAAACACAATTATTGTTCATCCATACAATATAACTACTTAAAACCAACAACATGTGAGCAGATGGGTTTTTAAGTTGCAATTTTAAACATATTACATATGTTTTTTTATTTTTATGTCCATATTCAGATAAGACAACATGCATTGTAAGTGTGAGAGTTCGAGTTCTCAACGTAAGATCAGAGTTCTGCGATTGAATTAAAATCAAAGCATTCGGCTCCTCCGTTACATAGTGTTGATATACAAGAATGTGTTTGTTCAGTGCCCTGAGATGATTTCTGTTGTGACTTGGTGCTATATAAATAAACTAAATTGAATTGGACTGAATTTTAAGTGTACATTACACTGCCTATATTTGTTTTTATGGTGTTCTTCATAAGTCCTACAAAATCATATGCTTACAGTACCCTCAAACTAAAACATGTTCCCGAGGTTTTAGAACCATTTTATAATGTACGTCTTACTCAAACCAGAGAAAAAATGATCATCTTTGTATTCTGCGGTTTGATGTCATTCATTCATTCATTCAAACTTTATTGGCAAGTCTCATTGAGCAGGAGGACTCATTTATAAGAGGGACCTGTTCCAAACAGAACATATAAAGTACAGACAACAATAACAATAAACAATGACAATAACAACAAACTATAATAACAGACTACAGTAAAAATGCAGTTAAAATATGCATAGTGTATAAATAAATAAATCAGGGTGCCGTAAAACAGGGTGAAATGCTAAAAACACCATATTTACTTTGATTTTTCTATTGACATTATCAAATGTTTGAAACCCCCTAAAGAAATTAAGGTGGACAACTTCATTTCCTGTTGCAAGGTGTTCCAGGTGCAGGAGCTGAGTAGGAAAAGGCCTTTTTGCCAAGTTCAGTCCTCACTGAGGGAACGCTGCAGGTAATGATGTCCTGAGAGCGCATGTTGTAACTGCACTGACGGCGTGACAAGTGGGAGGAGATGTAAGAAGGCAGCAGACCAAGGAGGGATTTATAGATGAAAATGAACCAGTGTGAGAGCCTACATGTAGATAATGATGACCAACTGACCAAGGAGTACAGAGTGCAGTGATGGATACGGTAGTTACAACCAGTTATGAATCTTAGCACGCCGCGATAAGACAGCATCCAACATCTGCAAGGAGCTGGCAGGAGCATTCATGTAAATAATGTCACCATAGTCAATGGCTGGTAGGAAGGTAGTGGTTACAACGCATTTTCTGGAGTTCAGAGTTAAACAAGATCTATTTCTGAAAAAGAAACTCAGTTTTAATTTCACTTTATTTATCAAGTTTTCGATATGTGGTTTAAAAGAGAGCTGTGCATCAACCAAAATTCCCAAGTATTTGTAAGAATCTACAAACTTAATAGGAACCCCATGCATGGATGAGATGTGAGGAAGAGTTGCTGGCACCGACTTTCTGTTGGAAAACAAGATTCCTTTGGTTTTGTCAGCATTTAGCACTAGTTTGAGGTGGAATAAGTCTGACTGAGTGATGTCAAATGCAGACTGTAGAAACTGGAAAACCTTGGCAACTGTGTTAGCTCGGCAATAAACAGTGGCATCGGCATAGAGATGCAAAGATGCGTCAGGGATGTTTTGACCTAATTTATTTATAATAGATTGTAAAAAAGAGTGGGACCTAAAACTGAGCCTTGTGGCACACCATTGGTGACCGTTAGGTAGCAAAATGAAGTACCATTATATGTATGTACAGCTACATACTTTTGTTGAAAGTAACTGGGACCCTGTGTACACAATTTCGTTCCACCACATGTACCACATGTGGTGCAAACGACAAATAAAGAAACTCTGACTCTCTGATTATGTCGAACACGTTGCCTCCAACCTGAGAGACAGTTTGAGAACCAGCTAACGGTGTGATCTGAGAACATGTCGGTGCTCTAAATGAAGACACAAACCAGATTTACTCAGCAGGTTTGTTTCTTTCTTACTCCTTCTATAATCTTTAAGAGAAGAGTGTTATTACTAGTCTGATCAAACAACCATGCAGTGGTACAGAAAATACAGTTTTATGCTGGTAAATTGGAGATATTTATAGCTTTCTGTTAGTCTTTGTATAAATACCTAAAATTGTACCTATTATGACCAACAGCGGAAGTATTTTAAACAATCTACTTTGTTTGGATAATGGGTTTTCATCATTAATTATTTAATAAAGAACATTTGTTGTGTTTAATGTGGTTTAAAACAGTCTTTGTGTTAATAAGACAGACACAGAAGAATGTCTAATAGTATCATTCAACATTGGGAGGTTTTGTAATCCCACTGTATGTAATTGGATGCAGGCTTATGTCCACACATGACCATTTAAAACCATCCTGGTAATCCCTTTTCTCTTCGCAGACATCTGAAGCAGGATTGGTTGGTAAAACAGAGGGAATACACACTTTGTTGGGGACTATACGAGGAACTGAACAGGTAGAAATTTTGTTTTCTCGTATGTGTTAAAACCCACATATAATAGATGCAATTTGGTTAATTGGATAGTGGGAAGGTTTGGTAGATGCTGGTCAGAAAGTATTACAACTATTAATAGAGGTTAACACTCACCAAATTATACCACTTCAGGAATGTAAGGAGCATCAGCTGAAAGTCAAAGCAGGTTAAATGTTTTAGTGACAAGAGACCCAATATTTACACAAGTGCATTTAAAAAATAAGTCACTACTTAACTTGAAAATGCTATATATTAACATGGTCGTGCTTTTATGACAAGCCCAAAGAGAATTAATTTGGTTTAATGGCACATTCTCTTGCTGCATGGTTCCCTGTCAGGAGGAGCCATGGTGGACGCAGCTGCAGCCGAGCAGTTCCTGGACTCCAACCCAACCTTCGCCAAGCAGTACTACGACATGAATTTCCGCCCTAAGGTCATCTCAGACCTGCTGGACAGCAACCGCAAACCTATAATAGACGTCAGCAGGTTCCACGAGCTGACTGCGGTGGATGAGAGCGAGATCCTTTTTGACTTGGTACGAGATATCCAGGACAACCTGCAGATGGAAAAATCAGTCTTCAGGCTCATGAAGCACCTCAGCTTCATGTTGAGAGCCGACAGGATGAGCCTCTTCATGTACCGGCAGAGGAACGGTGTAGCTGAGCTGGCCACCAGGTTACTGTGGAGTTTTTATTGTGCAAAAGCTCTTTTTTTATTGATAAAGATCAAATTAAAAAAATCACTGATAGTCACTGATAAACTAACATGACTCTAATCTATGAAGAAATACTTCCTTAAATGGAAATGGTTTTTGGAATGGAAGTTTTTTCCACAACACAACCCCCTCCCAAAAAGCAGTCAGTAGTTCTCACTTAATTTTTATATATTCAGTTTGAATTCATCTATTCTTGGCAGCAAAACACTTTGCATTTAAGGCAGCAGTTGTTCAAAGAGCACAGCTACACAGGAGCAGCTAATTTTCACAAAGTTCACAAAGGTGCACAAAGTTTTAAGTCCAAACAGTTGTAGTTTTTTATGACCTTATCTGTTCACTCTTAATATTTATGTTTGTGCAATCTGTGTTTTCAAGTAATACATTTGGCATGCACATAAACTGCTATCGACAACAAATATGGTGGTGGCTTTGAATGCAGACCCTGTGGTTGTGCGCCTTTAGTTTTCCTCAGTTTACTAAGTTTCATCCAGCTGGCAACACTTTCATATTTACTCCTTTTAAATTAGAACTATTTTAATTGTTAAAATTGACCAGTTTTCTTGTGCGTTTCAGGTTATTTAATGTCCATAAAGATGCATCATATGACGAGTGCCTGGTGCCGCCTGAGAGTGAAATTGTGTACCCGTTGGATATGGGCATCGTGGGTCACGTGGCAACCAGCAAGAAGATGGTCAACGTTCCAGATGTGACGCAGGTAGACAGCTGACTACTCTTTGCTTGTTTTTATATTATTGGATAAGTGCTTGTGTCTCTAGTCTGTCCTCTTTAAAAAAAAAAAAAAATATATATATATATATATATATCTCCCACTTTGATAAAACATTTTTTTAAATAATGACTTATTGTAAAAGCTATTTGGAGAATGAATCGGTGGTGCCTTTTTATAATTCACTCACATCGGTGGCATTAATGTTAAACGTGAAACTGAATACGTGTTCACTTTTTACTGAAATTATAAGAAACTATTTCAATCCACTGTTTTGATTATAGTTAACGTTTGTTCACGGCTGCTTTGTGGCTCTTTGACCACACGAGGGCACCAAGACATTTTTGTGCACCTATGTGTAATTCCTTTAGATTCACAGCCATCTTAATCTCATTACAGCCAATACCTCTGACATTTGGAAAGAGCTTGGAAGCCTTTTTTTCCTTATGTACCCATCATGCCCCTGCAGGTAGTCCCTCTGCCCTTACCTGCCCACAGTGTTCTTGTGACATTTACTGTTATTAAGGCAGCGGCACACTAAACCTAACTGATGCGTTACAAGCACTCCTCAGTATCCGTTCAATCTCAGACTTTCATGTGAGATTAGAGAAGACAGCCGCTGATGGGCGGACAAAAACAGATCAGGGTTGATGGTATTTTTCTCTGCTACCAGCTCAGACAGAACATTTTTTCTGCTTGAAACCTTCATCTGTGTAACCCCCAGCTGACACAAACACAAGGTTAGATGTTTGAAAAACTATAACCATCAAAGGCGATGTCTTCATTTCCCAGTGGCACCGATAAAACAGCTAAAGTTTCCATATAATCGTTTGGCTTTCTGTTTCTAATACATGGAGGAGATTCTTCAGAAATGTGTCTCTGCACCATGTTTTCATTCCCAATCCAATCCAGCACATACCTGTCAGGATTTCTCTACTTTCAGCGGGGGATTTTGTGACGACTAAGAGCTGTCCTGAACCATCCCTCGCCGCTTGTCTTTTCCCTCCTCACTGTGAATTTAATGTTCACGTCACTTTGAGTGATTCTGCAGTTTGAGGTTTTATTACTCCAGTTGTCACTGAGGAAGGTGGAAAGGCTGAATGTGGAGCGAGTTAATCTGTCCTGAATTAGAGCGATCCCAGATTACTCCCAGAGGTCACACAGGCCCTGAGACAATTTCACCAACTCAGCACAATAACATACCTTCATTGTATTCAGATTCAATTACTTTGCTCTCGTTGCTGTCTAAAGAAACAAAAATAACTTGGGATTGACTTTAAGATGCCCTCATTTGTCATAAACTGAAAACACAAACAACCAGATTATGAACATGTTGACGTGTTTCATGGTAAAAACTGTAAAGGCTGTAAAACTCGTATTTACGTCTGAGTTTCTAAACGTAAGGCCAGCTGACTCTCCCACAGGAAATCCAACAGGAAGTTCAAAATATTAAACAACTGCATTTAAAAGCAAATTATTTTACATGTGAGAAAGCTTCTTGAAGTGAAGATGAGTCTTTAGCTGAGGTTAACAAGTGAGATAAAGGCCTCTCACAGTCAACAACAGATTATCATGAAGCCCAAACATCTGGGCAGAACGACAAACTGTGCTGGGTTGTAGTCCAAGCAGTAACTGGAGTGCTGATTCAGGACCAGCCCTTATAGACATTTATCTCTGCCTTTCCCACACTTTTCACACACCTGGGGCCCCTTAGAGAAAATATAAAAGATACTTTTTTTAAATATCTTGTGCCTTTTACAAGAAGTAAAATGCTGTTGACAACTTCAGAATCGGAATAAGCTTTATCATCATTGCACCGTACAGTACAGTGAGATTCTGGATGAGATTCAGCTGCTTTATAAAAAAAATAGCAGGATTGAAATCCATCTTTGAATAAACTTAAAGAACCAGTGATGTATATTACACACTAAAAAAAGCCCAGATGTGGAGATACTTTTGAGAGTACATTATATTTGACACTTGAGCATTTCTATTAGACTGAGTAATCTCAGCATTACGGCATATTTACGTGTATCTGTTACTTGGTTTAGTTTTTCTGCAGCATAAGCAGTGATGCAAAACAGACTAAAACCAAATTATGTAACTTTTTATATTTATAAAAGAAAGGAGAACACCACCAATAAAACGCCGTTTCCTTGTAAATGTATAACAACTCTGTTTACAGGTGCCACAATGACAGTTATTGCATCAGCAGCTGTTTTAATTCCTCTTTTCACTTTGCCTTTGTCTGAGATTAAAATCTGGACTAAAACCAGTCGTTCCATGGACTAATTTATCGTAATTTCCGGACTATTCAAAATGCTCAAATATAAGCCTGGCCACTAAATTATATATAAACTTGAAAGCTGCATCAAATGCATTTCTTTGTGTGTTTTCCATGATGAGGGACGATGAAGAAAGTTATTTCTTCTCTGTTTTGATATTTTAGCTTGCATTTTGACAACCAACACATGCCTGGTCTAATACAAGCAATTAAGGTCCAAAACTCTCCCATTTACCCAAAGTATGGTCTCTGTAGAGGATTTTACTTGTCTGTTGACAGTTAGTGATGCTCTGCGAGTATTGAGCTTGACTCAGAGGAATTATGGGTGAGAGCAGCGAGCTCATCGAAGCTGTCAGGATCTGCTGACGAGTAACAAAGACAATCCAACGTTTGTGCTGTTAGAGTTCTCATTTCAGTAACTTTGTTGACGAGCTGACGGAGTATCAGACGAAGAACGTCCTCGCCGTGCCCATTATGAACGGTAAAGACATGGTGGCTGTGATGATGGCGATCAATAAGATGGACGGACCGTGCTTCACTGCCAAGGATGAAGAGGTAACGTGTCTGCCCGTTTAATCTGAGGAATGAAAGGTTTTCAAACAAGATTCAACAAAAGCACATTATATGGATTTTCCTTTCATGCCATCATGTTTTGTCAGACCAAACTTTTTTTGTTTGGTTTACTCATGAACACGTGCTGTGATCCGCAGACCCTCAACAAATACCTGAACTTTGCCAACCTGGTGCTGAGAGTTTTCCACCTGAGCTACCTGCACAACTGTGAAACCAGAAGAGGACAAGTAAGCACAGAGAGCAACGTACACCACAGTTAATGTTATATTTAGTTGACACTAACGCATAAGGTTTGAGAATAAAGAACAGGAAGGCTTCCTTGACTCCAAAAAATGTATCTCATGCAGTTTACAGTGAGCAAAGATGAATCCCTAACCTCTGAAGCCCCCGGCTCTCATTAACAGAGACATAACTGCACTTCCTGCTTTCTACTTCCATTAATGTGAGCTCCATTTTTACAACCACCAAGCACAGTAAACTGTAAGCAGTTGATTCAGCAAGAAACTGCACAAGACGACGTGACCGTAAAACACGGTCTTAGATGCTCACTCCGCGGTTCATACATGCACACAGCCAGCATACGTGATGAAAGCAGAGCTCTTACAGATTACAAAAATACAAGTTTCATCACGATTCGACCAGGATTCCCTCAGCAAGCAGCAAAAATATCTATTCAATTCATTTCTATAGCACCAAGTCACAACAGAAGTTGTCTCTGGGCACCGTACAGAAACATTCCCATACATTAAAAGGCCAGTTAGTAAAGTTCTCCATCTGAGGAAGCAGCAGATTGTGTTGAATCTCCACTTTGTCGCAGTCTCCCATTCTGAGCAAACACAAAGGAGACAGTGGGAAGGAAAAACTCCCTTTAAACAGGAGGAACCCTCCAGCAGAACCAGGCTCAAGACGAGCGGTCATCTGCTTCAACCGGCTGGGATTGAGAGGAACAGGAAGGAGAATCAAACACGGAATGGCATGTTCAGGTGTACTTCCTATAGTCCAGGTGTGGTTTCTATAGGAGGAAAGACAAAAAACACGTTAAGATAGAAATAACTAAACACAAACAGGTGGAGGAGAGCAAGTAAAGACAGCAGCAGAGAGAGGACATGTAGTCAATTTGTGCACTAGTAGTCTCAGCCTATAGCAGCAGAACTAAGGGATAGCTCAGGAAACCAAACCAACCCTAACTATAGGATTCATCAAAAAGGAAAGTCTTAAGCCTAATCTTAAATGTGTCGGCCTCACGGACAGAAACTGGAAGTTGGTTCCACAAGAGAGGAGCCTGGGAACTGAAAGATCTTCCTCCTGTTCTGCTTTTGGAAACTCTAGGAACCGCAAGTAAACCTGCAGCCTGAGAGCGAAGTGCTCTGTTAGGAAAATATGGAACAATAAGATCGGTAATATAAGATGGAGCTAGGTGGTTGAGGGCTTTGTCTGTTGGAAGTAATCACCAATCGGTGTCCTCCCCCATTTGAAGAGGTCATGATCCAGTGTGCACAGCAAAGTTGAAGCGGAGCAGAGAGGGAGCAAATATAAAAGTCTGCAATCATTCCTTTTGAAGCATCTTCTCAGTTAAGGAATCTGATGCAGTCTAATCACTTCCCGATTTCAACGGGAAGCGAGAAAAGTTTTGGATGTTCACAACCCTGAAGCTGTTCTTGTGTGTTTTTGTTCAGGTGCTGTTGTGGTCAGCCAGCAAAGTGTTTGAGGAGCTGACGGACATAGAGAGGCAGTTCCACAAGGCCTTGTACACAGTCAGAGCTTTTCTCAACTGTGACCGTTACTCTGTGGGGCTGCTGGACATGACCAAGACCAAGGTAGGGTTTCACTCAAACACATTTGGATTAAACAATTTAAAGCACCAACGCCCCTAAAATAAAGCCGAAAGCTGTTGTAGGTTTACAGACTGGTGCAAAAAAAATCAGCTTTTTTGTCTCCACAAGTTTTTCATTCATTCTCATTTCTGCCATGTCTTCAAGCATGTTTAAATTACAAAATAAAATTAATTTATTAATAGTGAAACACTTGAGAGACACACGCACAAAGAGAAGACTGAACAGAGACGTTACGAATGAGCAACAAAGAGTTTAAAGCTGCTGGGACGGGTGATTACTGAGTGAAAACAGGTGTACAGCAGTCCCTCGCTACTTCACGGATCATTTTTCGTGGACTCATCTATCGTGGTTTTTCAAAATAAAATTGGACATGACGCACAATTGGCTGATTGATGGATGAACCGCACGATCGGCATGAAATTTGTATTTAAAATAAATTATTTTAAACTATTTAGCACCAGTGTTCAGCCCACAGCTGCGGGAGAAGCTTCCTCCTGCAGTGCGTCCTATCGCCGCTCTGCAGCGGAGGAGTGGGCGTGGCCGAGAGCGCTGACAGATGGCAGAGAGCAGCCAGAGGCAGAGAGCACAGATCATGACATGCTGTGCTCTTTTAGAGCATTAAGAGTTTAGAAAAATTGTTTAGAATATTGCAAGAGTGTGGAAAGGGTTTACAATGGCTTAATATATATAAATACTAAAATAAACTACTTACTACTTGTACTACTACTACAGGACGGCTGGGGAGAACTGTGAGCAAGAAAACAGAAAGCTGACAGGACGAACAGGTCACAAAACACCTGCAGAGACAAACTGAAAGAAAACGTGAAGAAACTATTAAAAAAGTAACAAACTTTGGTCTGGAGAGGTTTTTTACGTCTAAAAAAAGCTGTTTTGCTACATATGAAAACTAATATATTTCATATATAGACCCATTTTAAACTAAATAACCTTTCTTTAACTATTAAACACAGACGTTTTTGTCTTATTCCATGTTCTTGCATCAGTTTTTGTTTTTATCTTTTTGAAGATTTTTCCAGAGCAGAAAAAACAAATAAAAAATAAAAAAACTTCCTAAAGCCACTGTGTAGTCAGTATGTCTGTGTATTTATACTACCTAAAATATGATCATGAATACCGAACATGGCTGTCACATAATTACAAGCTGCTGCCCAGCACCTGCTGTATGAGAGCAAACACATGTTGTCTGGCTGCACAGATGCTGCAACACTGGAGTCCATTAATAAAGCAGAATAAACAACCTGAGATTAAATACTGCTTTTGGAGACTTTTCTAAAGACAAAACAAACTCCTCAAGTGCTTCTAGAGTTCACGTTTCAGTGTTGGTGTTTTTACCTTTGACTTTGTATAAATGCATCTAATTAATGAAAAAAAAAAAAGCTTTGTCAGCTCTTTTCTGCTTTTTCACCGTTTGTAGGAATTCTTTGACATGTGGCCCATTTTGATGGGAGAAGTTCCTCCTTATGATGGACCCAAGACTCCCGATGGCAGGGTGAGAACATACCAGCGTCTGCTGCAACCAGTCACCGTCTCCACCTCTCATCCTAAACGTGAATGTCACTGAAAACTGTTCTCAGTGTCACATTAGACATCTTTTATCCCCGTCTGGACCGTCGAAAAGTAGGTGACAGAGTTTTATGACACCTGCTGAGATAAATACTGCCGGGGCTGTGAAACTGTGTGGACACGTCCAGTCCGGAGTCCTGACAGGACCTTTGGAGCAGCTGACCACAATCGGTGGCACGTTGACGCTGCATTGTTCAAATGATCTCACAGAAGTGGTTCAGTGGAACAACTCAGGAAACTGGGCTTTTTATTGTGACTTTTTCCATGAGACAACTAGTATAATTCATTTATTTCTTTAGCTATTAAATTAGTTTAATTAAAAATGGATTTTATTCTTTTTTTTTACCCAAAGTCACAGTGAGAGTCACATTTTTGGAGTGCTGAATAAACAAAGATCTTTCTCTGTTTTCTTCAGGAAGTTAATTTCTACAAAGTGATCGACTACATCCTTCATGGGAAAGAGGACATAAAAGTCATACCGTAAGTTACAACACATTCAGTCTGAAGGAAAGGCGGATGTCTAGATGTTGTAACGGAGTAAAAAGTGAAAAAGTTAAATTCCACCTTTTTCCAAACAGTTGTCCTGCTTGGGGTATATAATGAGGTATTTTCTGTGTCAGTTAGATTTAAATGAAATAAAGTTAAAGTAGAGAAATTGCATTTCCTGCGAAAATCCAGTGTGAAGGCTTATTGCTGAAGAACATGCTAAAAAAACAGCTGAAATTAGCTAAAACATGCTGAATTGTAGCTGAAATGGAAGAAAAAGCCTAAGTTAGCAGAATGAAGAAGATAAAAAAACACATATTTGCTGAATTTGGTTTAAATAATCAGAAATGAGCACAACAATTGGGAAGTTAACTAAAAAAACAGCTTAAATTAGCAACACTAAAAAAACAACTTTAATTTGCAACAACAAAGAAGCTTAAACTACCAGAATGAAGTGGAAGGAGATGAAATGAGTGCAAAAAATGTAGAATTAACTGAAAAAGCTAAAATTAGCATAAAATTGCTAAATAGTTGCTGAAATAACTGAAACTAGCAGAAATATACTGAAAGGATCATGAAGAGCTGAAATTAGCAGAAATAAGTTAATTAGGCTGAAAGTAGCAGAAATTACTGTGAAAAACATGAATTTATCTGAAAATGGCTCAAATTAGCTAAAAGCTATAGCTGAAAAGGAAGAGCAAACTTAAATTGGCAAAATAAAGCAGAAAAAAAACATATTAACCCAGTTAAGCTGAAAGAAGCAGAAATGAGCACAAAATTATCTGAATAAAGCTTAAATTAGCAACAACAAAAAGCAGCTGAAAAGTAGCTAAAAAGACAGAAAGAAGCTGAAATTACAAGAAGGAAGTGGAAAGAGCACATATTTTCTGAATTAGGTTGAAAAAAGGTTGAAATGAGTGCAAAAATGTGGGATTAGTTGAAAACGATTGAAAAAAGCGTAACAGCTAAATAGTAGAACAAGCTGAAATGCAGAAATAAGCTGAAAGGAGCAGAAATAAGTTAGAAGAAGCACAAACATGTTACAGAGAGAATCTGAAAGGAGCACAACACAGATGTAAAAAAACCCAACTGAAATTAGCTGAAAATAACAACAAAAAAAGTTAAAATTTGCACAAGGAAGCTGAAAGAAGCTGAAGCAGAACAAAATGTGAAAGGAGCAGAAAAAGGTTGTGAACAGAGCTAAAGATCTGAAGGACGTAAACTGAGCTCAGTTCATTTTATACGAGAGAAAATGTGGCAGAAATGGTTAAATATTTCAAAAAGCTAAAGTTGCACCAGTACCCAAAGTCATAGCAGGATTGTCCTGAAAGAGCTGAACGTTTTGATCTATGATTTGTTGAAATAGTTTGAAAACTGTGGGACGAGAAAGATGCTGAAAAATGTGTTAAAAAAAAAGGAACACAATAAAGTGGACGCTTCATAAACATCCACACAATTAATATTTTGTAATAAATATGGACGGTAACACAGTTGGCCTGATTTAGTCTGAAAAGAAGAATTCCAAGGATGTTCTGGGGTTTGATGCATTAGGATGTTTGGGTTTTGCGGGGGGGGGGGGGCATCGTGTCTTTTAAGGTCAGGTTGCATTTCCACTCCAGATAAGGAACAGCCTCTGCTTGACCAAACCAAAAACATCCTTCTGGTGTTTTGCTTTAGACACTTTGAGCTTTAATTTGTGAACAGCTTTATGTTTAAAATGTGAGAAGTTTAATTTCTATATTTACTGCCAGTGGTTTATTCCACTCATCTACAAGTTGCTGTGATTTAAAACATAATTAGGGCCAGTAAAACAAAGGAATGCAAACCTTAAAACTTAAAATATATGTTTTTAACGTAAGTCCCTTTTTACATGCAAGAAAGCTCATAATAAATCTACACATCCCTTCAATGGAAAAGTTTTATTGATAAATCATGTTTATGCTTGTTCTTCACCTCCAGGACCCCCCCAGCTGATCACTGGGCCCTGGTCAGTGGTTTACCCACTTATGTTGCAGAAACTGGACTGGTTAGTACATTTTATTTTATTTTTCAGACAAACTCTTCACGTGAGCTCTTATTCTCACAGCAGGCTTGTTTCATGTGCATATGTCTTCATCCGCATCATGAATTTAATACGTGAAGGCTCATCGGTGAATATAACAACCTTATAGATTTGTGTACTTTAGCTTTTACTTTCAACATTCATTTGAATACATTTTAGAGTTATATGATCACGACTGCGTGGGTTTTTCTGAAGCATGTTTAGAGATTTATAAAACATTTAAATAAGTTTCAGGGTTTTGCCTTCAAGTCAAAGCTCTGCTGCACAAGCGTGTTTTTATTTTTTAGCCAAGGCTGCATTTCTCATCTCTTTTTCTCATACATTCTGAATACAAGACTGTTCTGCTGCTAGAGATGTTTTCTAACTTGTTTTGGTAGAAAATCAGTTCTTAAAAGTCTTGAATGAGATGAGACAGTAAGATGGTTTTCAGACCTGCATATTTTGGACAGTTTTACAGGACATAAACAACAATCTTGTGTTCATGAATTAGTGATTTGTACTGAACGATTACATCACTAAATCAGTGATTGATTAATGTCTAAATAAGTAAACAAACTCAATGCAAAGAGTCATTTAAGAGAATGAATCAAAGCAGCACACCAGTCAGACGTTGATCTTTTTGAAGGTTTAAACAAATAGTTCCCAACACTAGTCCTTGAGGAACACCATACTGCATGTTTTAGTTGTTCCTCTGCTCCAACACACCTGATTCGAATGAAAGGGTGATTAACAGGCTTCTGCCGAACTTAAGGAAGTAATTAAACCACTTAATCATGTGCTGGAGCAGAGAAACAACTAAAACATGCAGGATGGTGTTCCTCAAGGATCATGGCTAAGAACCACTTGTTTAAAGAACTGAACAGTCAAACTGAAAAGATTAACTCCATCTACAGTATAAAACAGTTTCCATTAATGTGGTGGCATGGTGGTACAGCTGTTAATGCTGTTGCCTCTCAGTGAAAAAGTTGCTGGATTGAATCCCTGCTGGGGACCTTTCTGGGTGGAGTTTACATGTTCACTCCGTGCAAGCGTGGGATTTCTCTTTCAGTCCAAAAACATGCATGTTAGTCTGATTGGTAATTCTAAATGGTCCCTAGATGTGAGTGAGAGTGTGAATGGTTGTTTGTCTCCATGTGTCTCTGTGATGGACTGGAGACCTGTCCAGGGTGTCCCCCCCCCCCCCCCCCTTGCACAGTGACTGCTGGACATGGGCACCAGTGACCCCCGTGACCCAAAATGGAATAAGCGGGTAAAGATAATGGATGGATGGATGGATGGATGGATGATTTAATTAAAATATGCAGTTTCTATAAAACCAATACAAAGTTTCATGAGATATTTTGCTAACAGTACTGAAGGAGTTGGATCCAAAAGTTAAAGGCTGAGTTGTAGGAACTCGGTTCGTGCTTAAAGTAAAGGTTTGGATTCAGTCTCAGCTACTACCACATCAATTCTTAGCTCAACATCTGTAACGTTTTCTGAGTTATAGTCATTATTGTATTTGCTAAGATCTGCTTCACTACGGCGGCCATCTTGAACTGGTTTGACTGCAGATGTAATTAATGTGAATGATAATTCAGGGATAACTTTCTGAAAGTTTGAATAAACTCCAGTCAGTGATTCTTGAGGTATTTTGCTGACAGTAATACCCCCACCACATGCGTCACTCTGCCTGTTGCCACTGCGGTGGTTGGTTTTGTTTTGAATAATACCCTGTAAGGACTAACATGCACAGTTTCAAAAGTTGCTTTTAAAGTAATTTATTGTCAATAAAGTTGATGTGATTTGCTGACAATCTCTGCTGTGGTCTCAAATACGTTTTATTTTTGTTAAATTACATCTCATGTCAAGCTAGACTTAAAAACAAACCTTTAAAAAAGTCCGATTGCTGCAGGAAGTCAGACGAGCAGAACTCCATCAGGTCTTATTACGCAGCTGTCGGTGGGAACACCTTGTAGAAATGAAAAGCTGCTCGGACGTGTAATTGTAATTTTTTTCAGCCGTTGTAATTAATCACAGCGAACTTTTCCCAATCGGCTGAACCTGCCTTCATTCATCCATCCTTCCTCCATCTGTTCTCGTCACGTCCTCTCATTTACTTTGGTGCTGGGCATTTTTCATATCTGCACCATCTTTCCCGTGTTGTAATTTTTTACTTATCGTTATGCAGAGGGTGAGATCTGTGTCTCTCCGTAGAGCATCAACCCAGAAACAACAGACTAATCAAACAGACACCGATGAGTTTCGATTAAAGATGGAGGATTAAAACGATCATGCAGTGAAGCAATAACACTTTGTCACGTATGAGAACCTGTGGGTTTATTCAAAGGATTTATGATGTGAGATACGCTAAAGAGGCTTAAATCATCATTTTGTTCTTTACCAGTGTTTCAAACCTTTAGGAAATTTTTACTTTTTTGTTTTTTGGATTATGGTTTTATCAAATGTTACGATTCTAAAAATTGCTCCTGCTTTTAATTTCTTCTTCTTGACAGATTTGCAACGTCATGAATGCAGCTCAGGATGAGTTTTTTAACTTCCAGGTGAGACGGGTGCAACTTTTACTTCCTGTGTACTTCACTGCATATTAATCTATCTGCATAAAGTACATTTTAGCTGTAATTAATTTAAACTAGGGATGCACGATATTGGATTTTTGGCTGATATGCCGATATGTTAAAACTGATAACCGATACCAATACCGATATTTTCCTCCTAGACCTGCAGAGACTGCACAGCTTTCTCTGCATTGAATTAAAATACTACATTATTCTGCATGGTCTTTGTCAGTTTGACCTGCTACCAAATGCAGATGCCAAAAAGGGGCTGAAAATGATGTAACTCTTGAACTTGGATTATGTTTAATGTCAAATTTATTCGTGACATTTACTCTAACACAATGACAACAATCGATTAGTACAAATTTGTAAATTTTCACAAATCTAAACTCAACCTGTTCACAAGCGACAAGTGAAAAGCGCACAAGTAGTAGTGCTTTAATAGATAAAATTTAAAACAGCGTCTTTTACATCGTTGAGTTTTTTTGATGGAATGGTCGATGTCCGATATTTAACTTTATCGCTAATGGCTGCCGATACCGATACATGCCTATAATATTGTGCATCCCTAATTTAAACCGTGAAAAACATAGGTTTTGACAAAAAAAAAAAAAGATTTAGATCATATAATTAACGCTTCTTTTTTGTGATTGTCTACAAAAAGGACTAAACGCATCTCTGTGCCTGCCTGTAAATTAAATAGAAATCCCCACAAGGCTTTTGACTGATTCTACTAAAACAAGATCTTCTCCTATTTGATTAAGCAGGTGGAGCATTTTGATATTTTGGGCTTAACACAACTGAAAAGAATTTGGTCTTATTTAAAGAAATATAAAAATTCTGTTTTCTATCCAATACTTGAAAAATGGCAGACACACTCCACCACATGGTCATGCAGAAAACCCTTTAAGCAACTCAATAAATGCCTTCTGTTAATAATTCCCTGATGTGGTGTTTCTTGATAACTTTTTAGGCATAATATTCTAAAGAAAACATTATTATCAATTTAGTCTATTTTAGTGCGGCGCTATGTCCAGTTATTCTCCTAAAGATCGTCCAAGTGTTATTAGGACAACCAGATTCATTGTTTATATGGACACCATCACTTTTATGTTTGATGGTATTGTTGTAATATTTCAGAACATATTTACAGATGTATTGTGTGTGAAAAGTGGTTCTGTAGCTTCTTGTCACATGCACATTAAACCACCAGAGACCAGATTTCAGACATGTTGACGTCTCTTTTCTTGTTGCTATGTTGGCTTAATTACTGCAGAACTGTACTTTCTTCAGTATGTTATTACTTCATCCTAAAAGTTTTCCTTTGTAGGGGCAGCAGATGATCCTGTCATAAAATGAGGACTTTACCTGCGATGTGTTCAGGTTTCAGTTAGAACAATAATCAGGATAATTACAGATCATCTTCCACCTTTTCTGATGGCGCCAGTATTTTTCTGTGAATGTTATGAAGTACTTTAACCTTTAAAGAAGCTCCGACTCACAGTAATAATACAGCTCTGTGTGTGTGTGTGTATCTGTGGGGGGTGTCTTGCAGAAAGAGCCCCTGGACGAGTCTGGCTGGACCATTAAGAATGTCCTGTCCATGCCCATTGTCAATAAGAAAGAGGAGATCGTGGGAGTGGCCACGTTCTATAACAGGAAAGACGGGAAGCCCTTTGATGAAATGGACGAAACGCTGATGGAGGTGTGTGTGTGTGTGTGTGTGTGCAGCACATGGACTCACTGGTTTATACATACACTACAGACCATTCAGAGCCTCTGCGTTATTTATCTCTGGACCTGAAGGCTGTTTGTGCCGCTCCTCTGTCTGCCTCACTGCTCTGAATTCAAAACACGAGTTTTATTCTCCGTTTAATCAGATTGAAATGAACTTTTATTCAAACACGTCATGTTAAAATTAAATATGACCTCACTTCAATTAAGTCAGGTTTAGGAAGCTTTAGTGTTTTTGTTTCTCTGAAGCTTGGTGTGCTGTAAACATATCTGCATGTTTATGTTGTTTATAAAAATGATGTCGTTTATAGAAATGGGTTACTGTTTCTACAAAACGTTGCAAAATAGTGTTTCAGCAATTCATATTTGGTCTACTTTGGCAAAATGTGTTACTGCAAAATATGTGCAAAAATAATATGGATGGATGGATGGATGGATGGATGGATGGATGGATGGATGGATG